TTTTTTGCGGAACCGGGGGTTGAACTCAGACCCTTGCGCTTGCCAGGAAGCACTTATTCCACTGAGCCATCTCCCCGGCCCCTTCTAAGTTATTTCTATATCAGTGACTCTCAACTAGGGTGGTTTTGCATCCAGGCAACTTTTTTTGTACTGGGAATTGAACCCAGCACCTCATGCTTTCTGGGCAGGTGCTGTGCCACTGAGCCTCTGAGCTATATCCCTGCCTGGGGGCATCCATGAAACATTTGATAATTTATAGAAACAATTTTGGTTGTTACAATAAGATTGGGGAAGGGGTATTGTACTTGTTCCTGGCTACTGTTCAGCCTACAGTATAATACTACATCTGGCAAAGAATTGTTTTTACCAAACAAAACAAACCCAACCACAACAAAGAAAGGCTGGGATTATAGCTCAGTGGCACAGTGCCTGCCTGGCAAGTGCAAGGTCCTGAGTTCGATTTCTGGTACCAAAAAACAAAACACCCATCAAAAACTAAAAAATTGTCTGGCCCAAAATGTTAACAAGGCCAAAGCTGAGCTAGCATTGTGTATGACACCATAATCTGTGTGTGATTGTGTATCCTGTGACTGACCAAGTCTCTTCATCACTATGTGACCAAGAATGGATGTGAATGAGAGTTATGTTTGTAACTGGGCCTCTGTCAGATCTTGTCCTGTCTTCAGACACTTAGCTGCCAACTCTGCCCCCAGCTCCAGTTTCCACTGCAAGAGTTCATCCTGGCCATGGGCTTCTTCTTGGTCCTGGTGATGGAGCAGATTACGCTGGCTTACAAGGAGCAGTCTGGGCCGCCACGTCGGGAGGAGACGAGGGCCCTGCTGGGAACAGTAAATGGTGGGCCACAGCATTGGCATGACGGGCCGGGGGTCCCATACACAAGAGGAGCTGCAGCAGCCCCTTCAGCCCTACGTGCCTGTGTACTGGTCTTCTCCCTGGCTCTGCACTCAGTGTTTGAGGGGCTGGCAGTGGGACTGCAACGAGACCGAGCTCGGGCCATGGAGCTGTGCCTGGCTTTGCTGCTCCACAAGGGTATCCTGGCTGTCAGCCTATCCCTGAGGCTCCTGCAGAGCCACCTCCGGGTGCAGGTGGTGGCTGGCTGTGGAGTCCTCTTCTCATGCATGACACCTCTGGGCATTGGGCTGGGTGCTGTTCTGGCAGAGTCAGCTGGGCCTCTGCACCAGTTGGCCCAGTCTGTACTGGAGGGTATGGCAGCTGGCACCTTCCTTTATATCACTTTCCTGGAAATCCTGCCCCAGGAGCTGGCCTCTTCTGAGCAGAGGATCCTCAAGGTCATTCTGCTCCTTGCTGGTTTTGCTGTGCTTACTGGCCTGCTCTTCGTCCACATTTAGGGGGCTTCAGTTTAGGGGGCAGGGGAGGTTGCCTACCAGGTGCTTCTAGCTTTCCTTCTCCCAGTGTATGGAGAACAGGAAAGAATGAGGAAGGTACAAAGACAGAGTTCTCTGGGAGATAGGAATGGAGCCTGTCAGATTATGTCTAGTGAAACAAGTGGGCAGAAAAGAGGCTGACTTCAGGCCCAAGCAAGGGGAGCTAGCCAAGTCACTGACCACTTGATCAGGGGACATTAGAATGGAAGCAGACTCTGACTATCAAGGTCAGAGGGCACACATTACTCACTGGGACAAAATGACAATGGGGAGGCTGGAGGTGGGTGGGCACTCAGCCACTGAGATAATATGGGGAGGGCAGGGCCTAGAGTCAGCATTTTGTTGATTCTAGCCTATATTGGCATCCTGTCATTTGCAGGGAACCCTTCCTACTTTTCTTGCCTCCTACACATACCTCCTCCTCTTCTTCCAGGGACACTAGTGCCAAATGGTCTCTCCCTGCCAATTTTCATACCTTCTCTGGCCTCCTGAGTCCTGCCTACTCCACTATTTTTGAAGTGCCAAACAAATCCCCTTTTCTCAAAGCACAGAGTTGTGGCAGTAGGCCCTGCTCAACACCTCAGTTGAGGGGACCTACTTGCTTTTTTAGTTCCATATTTTGGGTGGGGCAGAAATCTTCGCTGGACTGGCTTGAGGGGAGACCTGCGACCACCTGCTGCTGCACCCTAGGATTAGGGGAGAGACATGGACATAAGGTGTCCCATACCCAAATGGTAAACACAGAGCTGCCAAACATTTTTTATACCTGATGAGCCCAGGGGGAGGAAAATAACCACCCCTGGGGATATTTTTGGGGAGGGAGGGCTGTGTATAAGCCGTATTCTCTAGAATCTATTTTACTAACTAACCTGTTTGGGGACATATTAGCCAAATAAAAGATGTTTCTGTGCAATTCTATGGTATTGGCTTCATTTATCTTGGAACGGGTGGGCACATGCCAGCTCAGAAAGTTTAAGTCTCAGATGTTCATCGCTGTTTTATGAACCTTGATTTCATTGTGTTCACTGGGCCTCAACAGTGCCCTTTCCTAAAGATGACCAAATTTTCCCTCCTTTGTCTCATCCTTTTTCCTTACCTGTCTCCACCCTCTTTTCTCCCCCTTTTTTCCCCTCCCTCTTCCTCTCTTAAATCCTCTCCCTCTTCCCGTTCTTGTTTGGCACAGATTTGGAACTACTACTCCCAGCCTGCCTCGCGCGGGGAGTGGGCTCGGGGCGGGGAGAGTCCTGACTCGCGGCGTCCGTGGGGCTACCGGGAAGTGGAGTCCACTTCCTCCCCGCGTTGCGTGCCCATAGGCGTGAGGGGGTCACGTAAACAAACTACGGGTCCCGGCGGGCTGCGCGCCACGGGTCCGGACTAGGTTTGGGCCGGGTCGCGGGGCTCGCGGAGGCGGTGGCGGCTAACGCTGGGGGAGCAGCGCCGGGGCCCGCGGCGGAGGCCGTGGCCTGTCCTGAGAAGGTGGCGGGGAGGGACGCGGGAGGAAGATGGCGACGTCGGGGGCAAACGGGCCCGGCTCGGCCGCGGCCTCGTCTTCCAATCCGCGCAAGTTTAGCGAGAAGATCGCGCTGCAAAAGCAGCGTCAGGCCGAGGAGACGGCGGCCTTCGAGGAGGTGATGATGGACATCGGCTCCACCCGGGTGAGGGGCCAAGCCGGGTAGTAGGGTGTGGAGGCGGGGCGAGGGCGGGGGCCGCGGCCAGGAGGCGGAACAGGCAAGGCCGGTGGGCGCCGCGGTCTAGGAGGCGCGGATGAGAGCCGTGGGGCAGAAAAACGGATTTTGCCGAAGAGAAGACCGAAACTTGGGAGAGATTGGGTTTGGGGGCCGAGTGCATGCGGCAGGAGTGGGCCGAGAGGAGAATGAGCCCTAAAGTTTGGCGGAGATGGGTGGTCCCTGTGCATCCCTGGCGGAGTCCCCTGGAGGGACCGAACTGAAGCATCTCTAATCAAGGGTTGTGGGCTGGGCAGGATGGCTTGCTTGTCTCTAATCTGCCTTTTTTGAGTTTGTGATCTCCGAACTAGTTCCTCTGCTCCATCAGGCCATTCTTGGCGCTTTGGTACCCTCGGGAAAGGGCCCTTTGGGTGGTTTGAAGGCGCAGTGCTGGGTATAGCGGGCCAGGAAGTCCCCTCCTGCGTCCTGTCCCTCTGCTTCCTTTTTCAAATACTTCTGTGGTTTCCTGACGTGAAGGTGAGGTCCATTGCTCACACACTGGTACTTGGTGTTTAGCCCTGGCAGCCTTGAAGAGAAGGCTGAACTTCAAATCACAGCTGGGTAACCAGTTTGCTACAGGTTGTTTGGAACCCTACATGTAAAGTTGCCGAGCCCGCTAGAGAGATGGATGCCGGATGCTTTGTATGTCAATTTCTGGAGTGTCTTTGAAAGACCCTTTTGTGTCAAGGATATTCATTCCTAGGAAATTTCATGAAGAACTTCCAGACCTCTGCCAAGCTGCCTCTGAAGCTCCTGTACTCTTGATTTCTTGCTTCCCAGAACTGGATGTTGGGAGCCAGGGCAGGAGTTTGCTCAGCCTAGTAGGCAGTCCTAATTTAGGGACGCATTATGCTCACAACAGCAGGTGAGGATATTGCAAGTGATCCCTCATGGCAGAGTTGGGAGGAATTCCAGAGGAGATGGTGGAACATAATAAATACATTTCCAATCTCTTTCTGCTGGGGTGACTGATTGCATCTATGGCAGTAATTCTGGTTGTGTTTTTGTGTGTATCTCCTTTGATTCTGCTAGTCTTTTTTTTTTTTTTTTTTTTTTTTTTTTTTTTTTTTTGCAGTACCTGGGATTGAACTCAGGACCCTGCACTTGCCAGCAAGCGCTTATTCTAATGAGCTATTTCCCCAGCCCCAGGAGTCTAACTTTGAAGAAAATTAGTTAAAATTAAGCTGGGGGTGGGG